GAATCAAACACAATGACCAATACATTAGATCAGAGCTGATCGAATCAAGACACAGCCACAGTTTTTACTAGACAACTCTGACTCCCCCGATAATCGGCTTATGGTGAATTGCTTTACAAACTGAGCTGGAGATTAGCTAAGAAATGAGACCGCTACCTGCTTACTCCCGAGCCTGCAGAAATCAGTAAGGCATGAGGAGGTGCCCAGGCTCTGCACTATCATTCGATAGATTTTTATTGTTAATATGCTTCAGCTCTGCTGTGCCTAAGCTCAAGGGATCCAAGCAAAACCACCCCTCACCTGGATGTGCAGAGCACTGCAGATGGCTTGAAACTTCTCTTTAGGTAGAGGGATCTTATATTCAAAAGAGACCTCCAAGAGCTGGCTCAGACTCTGCAACAGAGGGTGAAAGTCAGATGGTGGCACACACAGGAGCAATATGTAGTGACTGAAGCAGCTTCAGGGGATTCGTCGATTCCAAGGCTGGAACGGATTATTGCCATCATCTAGTCTGACCTCCGGTACAACACAGGCCATAGACCTTGCCCAGAATAATTCCCAGAGCAGAGCTTTGAGAAAAAACATCCCAATCTCAATTTAAAAACTGTCAGTGAGGGAGAATCCGCCTCGGCCCTTGGTAAATAGTTCTAATGGTTAATTATCTCACCATTAAAAATGTACGCCGTATTTCCAGTCTGAATGTGTCTCACTTCAGTTTCTAGCCAATGAATCAAGTTACACCTTTCTCTGCTAGACTGAAGAGCCCATTATAAAATATGAGTCCCTCGTGTATGATATTATAGACTGTCATTAAGTCACCCTGTCACAGGACAGGTCCACCCCGTCAGGGTGGTACCAGGTTGTGGAGGAATTGAAGTAGATCTGGGGCGGCCCCACTGGCCTAGTCTCCCTAGCCACCGCAGCAGTCCTGGCTCCTAGGGCAGCGTAGCCTAATGGTGGGATCAGTGCAGCAGCCCTTCGGTGAGGGTCCACGGCCCAACAGCGCGAGTCACTAGGGCTGCCCTTCTGGGTATGGCAGTGCGGCCTAGTGGCCAGAGTCAATGGACCCGCCCTTGGCTCAGGGCAATGCGGCCTAGTGGCCAGAGTCAATGGACCCGCCCTTGGCTCAGGGCAATGCGGCCTAGTGGCCAGAGTCAATAGAACCACCTTTTGCGGCAGGGAAGTGTTGCCTAGTGGCCAGTCCTTCTCCACTGGGTCCTACCCATTCCACAGGTCCCAGCCCAGGGCCCTGTCTTGCCGCAGGGGTATCTGCCTCCAGCTCAGCGGGGATCCTTCCCAAACATGCCGAGTCAAAGCCCGGTACCTCAACTGGATCAGTGCTTAGTCCACCTAGACTACTTCCCACCCGTTCTTCAGCAGCTGGTAGTCTCCGGGATTCTGTGGTCTCTCCTCCATCTCTGGCACTGGGTGGCTGGGAGTCGGTTGCAGCCACAGTCCGGTGGCCTCTGAATCCTGGAGCACTGGCAGTCTCTCTGCAGGAGCCTGCCATGCACCTCTGCTCCCTTCGGCAGTCATCCCTGACTGAGCTGAGCGGCTCTCTTTTATATCCTGGTTCCAGCTGAAGCATGCCCAACAGAGATGAGGGGGCATGGCCTCCTCGGCCCACAAAGTATGATTAACCCCTGCTGAACCAATGCGGGGTAGGTAAACCCCATCACACACTCTTTTACTGTCTGTTTGTTAAACTAAATAGATTTAGTTCCTTGATTCTACCATTGGAAGGCATGTTTTCTAATCCTTTAATCACTGTGGCTCTTCTGTCAATATCTTCTCCAATTTATCAACACCCTTTTTGAATTGTGGGCACTAGAACGGGACCCAGTGTTCCCACAGTAGTCACACAAGTGCCAGATTTAGAGGTAAAATAACCACTGCACTCCGACTTGAGATTCCCCTTTTCATGCATCCCAGCGTTAGCTTTTTTGTCCACAGCATGAGTTCGTGTTCCGCTGATTATTCATCATGACCC